ATATTAGGGTGTGCCAAAATGTAACTCCCGTGGAGAACCTTTTAAAATTGGAATTTTGAGTTCTGCTTTTAACAGGGGCTGTGTTTGGGCATTTTCTGAGATATTTTGGGGGGAGACGATGTATTTAATTATTTATAGGATTTTTACCAGGAGATTTAATGGGGCACTTCCGGCCAAATTTTAAATTTTCACCAGAAACGCCTAAACTAAGCTTCTGTTAAAAAATTCTATGTATATATAGATGATAGTAATCATATTAATAGTAAAACTTTTTTAATTTAACATAATAATCATTTATTAATAAAAATTAACAAAAATAACAATGCATTAACCCAATACAGAATAGGTGTCACGAGTTCCCTGCTTACATAATTACAAGAAACATATTATTACATATAATGTAATGTAGTATATTTTTTTAAAAAAGTTCATTATTACTGTACAGCAACTCTATAATAAAAGGACACTTGTACCTTTTCAGATTAAAATCACAACTTTTAATAAATAAAATATGTCGTAGACGTATTCTAATGCCCTACTAGCGGTACTTGGCTGCTATATATGAACGTTTCTTTGTTTCGCATAACAATAATCACGGAAACTCACTAATTAAATCGCACTTCATGCTATGCATCGCTGAATTTTTCATTGTTTATATTTATCAATGATAAAATAAAAACCATATCTTTAATCACATATTTTATTATTAAATACATATTAATATTTTAATAATTAATATTTGGGTATGGCACCCGAGGCTTATATTTAATTGAGACAATAAATAATTTAATTACAATCCCTTATTACTGAAAAATATTATTTCTTCTCCAATTGACATTCTAATTAAATAATTTAATTATCGTTACTCAAGGGCTACAATGTCAAGTTGCATCATAAATATTAAAAAACATAACCTAAAAAAATATTGAATAAAAAAATAAACATTAACAGAGCCACGGTGAGTAACGACAATTCGGCAAAACTGGACAAATCATAATAACAGTTAACATTTTAATAAATAAATAAATAAATAAATGTAATTAATTTACGGTAAAATTAACCTAATCTTAAATTGTTGATTTTGCTGAGTTGTTTGTTCATTATTGTTTAGTTTTTTTTATGACTGGGTATTTTTACAATTCACTCTGTGTTTATGTGACATGGATAGCTTCTCAGACAGTCGCCGCCTTCTTGCCCCAACCTTGCGGCAGATATGTACCGGTAAAAACGTTGGCTAGAAGCACTACCGGTACTTTTACGCTTCAGTTCTTGCGGATCTCTGAAATAAAAAAATTAATTTTAGTCACAAAAAATTGAAACTGCTTGATTTATGGTGAACAAAAAATAAGAAGTTTATTCCAATTGTTTTAATTTTTAATGACTAGTTTGTTTTATGTATTTTTAATTGAAATGCGGGATTGATAAAAAAGAAAGTGTTCGGCTAAGGGAAAGACGATTTTAGTTGTAAAAAGATGGCCTGATTGTAATTATTAACTGTAGGTATTTGTAACCTTTCTCTGGAGAAATTGATGGGTTAATTGAGTGAGAAAATTTTTATTGTTGATTGATGAGAGTTTTTTTTGTGTTACGCAACGTCTATTTGTTAGAGATTGTTCGGAGGGAAATAACTGGTTTTTAATGCCAGTCGACGAATATAATTTTGATGTTTGTATGAAAATATCTGAATAATCAGAATAAAGCGGTCTTATTCTTATTAAAAAGTTATCGTATTTTAAATTTACTTTTTAATTTTAAAGTGTATTAAATTAAATGTAATTCAAATTCATATTCTATATAACAAAGCAACAAATGTCAAATACATTGGATACTTTATACATATGATGGTTAGATGTCAGTATGTATGATTACATATTATATGTTAGTAAATATTTTGATGAATAGACTGGGCCAAAAAATTGGCTGTTTTTGAATTCCAAATATATACAATTTTTTGTCAGACAGTCCAATTTTTTTAAATTTTCAGTTTTTTTAACAAGGGGTAAAAAAACTGAAGGGGTAAAATGAGTTTAGGAGCTACAAGAAATCCATTTTTGTGTTATCTTATTAAACTCTACAACATGTCTAGAATATTTTCCTTAAATTTTAGGTCAATAGAGGTGATGGTTTAGAAGATAGATCCTTGGGAATGTGACTCTCAAGGCCAGTTCGGCTGGGCGCTCAAAACTTCAAACGCATTCTTCTCGAAAAACTATTTTCATAGTCGGTTGTCAAGATTTCTTGAAAATTACTAAACCGATCTTGATGAAATTTGGCACGTGTCTCCAAGATACTATTTGACAAGAACTTTAACGAAGGATTTGTTTTTTTTTTTTTTTTTTTTTTTTCAATCGCAACTAATTTTAAAAAATCTAAATGTTTGCAAATGTTAGCGAAATTTGAATTGTTTTTCAAAACTTTGCCAAAAATCCAAATTTTTATTTTTTATTTTTTCTTTCGTCCAAATGATTGTATTAGGTATTAAATAAAAGGTCCCATTTGACTTTTTGATTTCACATTATCCTGTCATGAGTTATGGTGTTAACGTGAAAGTACCTTTTTTCGGAAGGGTCTCCGGAAAAGACGTCGCAATGGCTGAGTTTTTAATTTTTTTCAACGAAAACATTAGAAAATGTTTATTAAATATGTATCTTTAATGTTAAAAAAAAAAGGTTAAGTTAAAAATTTCATATTTTGAATAAGAAAAAAACTTTTTAAAGTATGCCATTTTTTCACGGAGTAAATCCATGTAACCCCTTAAAAAATGAATTTCCACAAGGTACAAAAAATTGAAAATTTCCAAAAATAGGGATGTGTTAGTGTTTTTAGTCTAACTTTCAAAAATCAATTTTCCGTTAGATCTCGACGTTTTGAAAGCCTTAGAAGCTATTTTGACCATTTATTATATTCATACGCTCTTTCGGCTTAAAAATTTTTTTTCTTTAAGGATAATTCTGGTTTACAACTTTTGAAAAAATATTTTTTTTTTTTACATTTTTCAAAAGGACATATATCTACAAGTATTGTGTTAAAATTTCTAAGTGATCGGATCTCTGTAACTATATTATTTTACGAAGTTTGTGTGGATTTTCAAGAGAAAGAAAATCAAATTTCCAAACAGGCTGAATGGATTTTATATGGTGCTGGTTGACTTTAGATAAGATTTTTTTTTTATTAAAAAAACTTTAAACGCGTTTATCACAGAACAATACTTTTCTGGTTAACGTACATAATATCTCCGGAACCACTGACTCAATCTTAATGAAATCTAAGCCACATATTCTACATTGTAGTAGCTATGGCACGAACTACAACCAAATCAAAATTTCGATTTTTAATATTTTTTAGGACTAAAAACTGGGAAAAAAGTCTTATTTTTAAGCTTTTTTGTTTTAATCTCAGTAATTTTGTTTTTTATTAATATAATAAATATTGATATCCGTAGTTCCTGTCATAACTACTTATATATTGAAGGTATATAATTTCGGTTTTAGTGTTTTAGATGAGCTGTTATTAAGTTATTATTTACGTCAGCGACATACCAACTTTTGGAAGAACTCCGTTCACCCACTGTTTATTCATACAAAAAATATAGTTTGATATTTTTTGTTATTCAAGAGTGTATGTGTTGAGCTGAATAAATTTTATATCAATATCTATAATAGTTTCAATTAAAAAAAATAATGAATATCTGCTTTTTTTCGAGCGTCGGAACCAGAATGATCCCTTAAAGTCAAAAGAGCATGTGTCGAAAAAAAAATTTTCGCGTTTTTTAACCAAATTTTCACTTTTATACAATTCTAAGTTGATAGGAGAAAATAAATTGTTTTATCCGTCCTTTTGGTTCTGCAAAGCCAAAAGGACATAAATTTTAAGATACATCGTTTTAGCATTAGTAACGCGATATATGTGTAACATTAATTCCTAAATTTCTTCTATTTAAGCCCTATTATAATATCACACTAAGAAAAAAAGATACTTTTGCTCAATTAACAATTTCTTGGCTCATGAAACTCGCTGACGATCAAATATTCTATTATTATTAATTATTAATTTCTGAAGAGAAGAACATCAATATTTATCTTTGGATAATAGATAAACAAAAGAATAGGTTTATTTAAATTAAGTAAAATTTATTTCAATCAATTTAACAATTTTTTGAGCTAAGAATATATATTCTTGAAAATTTTCAAGAACACAAATTCTTGTATCAAGAAAATTTTCTTAATAAAAGTATTTTTTTTTCTCAGTGCAAACACTAATTTTTCTAATTTTACCAATTGACCCTACCAAATAAACAAAAATCACAATACTTTACCTAGATAACTCATTAGACACAATATTACTATGCGGTGAATAAATTGCTGGATTTTTGTACATGCTACAAATGAGTCTCTCCTTACAAGACTCTTCACTGAATTTAAGTTGCAAAAAAATTTCGTCGAGTCTGCGAAGTATGGGCCCATAAAAAGAATCGTCTTGAGTCACTGCGACACGCTCAACTTGATTAGTAACGTGACCAAGTTCACCGGTATTTTTTTTATTCGTCACTTTAAGCTGCTGCTGCTGTTGCTGCTGAGTAAGTCTATTTATCTGTGTCTGCTGCTGGAGATTGGAGCTCGCGACTGGCTGATGTGAGTGCACAAAAACAGGATGCACTTGCCTGTTGTTATTGTTATTATTATTATTATTATTATTGTTGTTGTTGCTGTTGGTGGCAAGAGCATGTGTGTGAGCATTGGACTTGAAATCATTACGTGCAGGTGCAACGGGAGTGTGTTTAATTGACGCAGTATTAACTGGTACTTGCTGGACTGAGGGAATTGGGACACTAGGCACTGGTGCTCCGACTCCAACTCCAACTCCCACTGGCACTCCCGGCACAGATCCACCTGATATCCGTCGATGTAATTTCTGGTTCTGATCTTCGAGATACCCATTGTAAGCCAAACTTTGAGCATGTGCCACATTTATCGGTTGAGGCTGAGGCTGAAGCTGAGCTGGCTTCAGATACTGAGGTTGAAGATTGCCGTAATTATTAAGTTGAGGCTGGACGGGGGTCAGTTTGTTGTAATCGTCATGCAAATCCGTGAACGAGTCTATTCCCCACTCCTTCAGCTCTTCCATGTCTTTCCGCAGCTGGATGTGCGGATGCGCGTAATCGTAACCTTGAAATTCTTCCTCTTGATAAGGCGGGTGAGGTGAGTGATGATGTGGGTCGTAGTACGTGGGTGCTGGCATTGGAACGGGAACTGGAACGTGATGATGATGATGGGCGATCTAAAAAAAATAATTTTCCTTTTAGTTTTAGTTTTGTTGTTATAGTTATCTGTTAAATTGATCGAATAATGTGGCAATGTAGGACAACAGTACTTGTTTTGAGACTAAAAGTTTTAAATGTAAGAATGTTGCTTTGTCTTAACCTACGTATGGAATAAATAATTTTACGGTAGAAGTTTGAATAAATTTTTTTTTCGTTATTCCTTCTCCGTAAGCAGTAACTTAGTCCACGTTTTGAGATTTGGTAAATAGCTGGTTACTCAATTTGTAATTTCAGCGTGTTTTGCGTAAATTGAATGAACGGTTATTTGGGTGTGATAAGTTTAATAACTGAACACAAATTATTCTTGTCAAACACAAATGATAATCAGAACATCTATGTCAAGCCCATGTTCATTTTTTTAAATAAAGTTATTAACAACCTTTATTGTTTTTAACTATATAACTGAAACTTTTTTTTTTTTTTTTTTTCGTCTGGGAGAGAGAGCTGGATCCTAACTTTGTTCTGGAATTTATCTTCACCTTTGTAATAAAAAATAGTACTTGCATCTCGTGCGGTGTCGATTATATTATTTTTACGTATAATCTACTATTTTTAACAATAATTGAAAGATGATACAAGAGAATTCGAATAAGGCTATAAGCAGTATAAAACTTTGAGAATTTATTTTTTTATGTTTTCAGAAATTTTGTATGAATTTATCTTGAGAAATTTTGTAACTTCAATTTTTTTTTAATGCGAATGTAATTTTTCATTTACTCAATTTTTTATTACTGATTAGAAGCACATTCTTTTTTTTCGAATCATTGAAACAACAAGATTGTTGTTTGACAGATGTCAAAAAATTTTCTGATAATGTGCTGATATGTCGATGTATAATTTTTTATTGAAAATAGTGTTAAAAAACCCCGTCAGAAAGCGCATTATTGCTGAACGGTCTTCTCAGAAGAAATTTTAATTTAGAGTACTAAGTGCTAATATAAAAATTATTTTTTCTCCCGTTATAAGTCTAGATGAATTTTTATCGAATTTTTTTCCTGAGTTCTTGCTCATTCATTCTTGCGTTATTTATACACCGTATAGATTGTGCGATAGTGATATAATTTATTCACAAAAAACTTTTAGAATTATTTGCTGACATGAAAAACTCCTTGATTCGAAACGAAAAAAGACAGGAAACAAATTTTAATTAAATTTAAAGAAAAAAAATTTTGGAAAATCCAAATGAGCATGCCTTAAGCGCTCATATCATACATAAATTATTTAGATCATAACAAAAATTATTCGTTTTTAATTTGAATTTTCCCGAGAGTAGTATTATATCCTCTCTGTAGGTCGAGATAAACAAAAATTTTAACAGATGATAAAACAGTTAGTAATTATACCATCATGTATGTATAGTTTCTGCTTGGTTATAGTTATTTCAATTCTGTTTATGAAAAATAATACATATGGCTGCCGAAATCACAGAAAAAGTCACCGAACTGACAATCGAAAAAAATTAACTGTATCGAAACGGAATTATTTTGACACGCAATTTTCACAAGGGTTTTGATAAACTTCCTTAGGAATAAAACAAAAAAAAATTAAATCGTGAAAGTGATTTTTGACAAAGTTGTGGTGTTGTCAAGCCCATAGCTCCCGTGAATACCACGCTTTTATTCATTTAATTCATCAGAAAAACGGGTTTTTTCTGAAAAATCTTATTTAATCGATAACAAAATTTTTTTAATGTGTTCTATAGTTACTATTATTTATTTTAATATGATTTTTATCACGATTTTTAGGCGAGAGTAGAGCATACCTGCGCGCTTCGCGCTTAAGGCATGCAAAATTTTTGTATTATTCGAGGTTCAAATAAAAGAATATAAAGATCAAAACGATATGGAGCAATAATGGTTTAATTTATCGAAATCGGATAACTGTTCTTACAGCTCATTTAAAAGAGAGATTTATTAAAAATAATTATCTGAAAAAAATACTTTAATTGATGAAAGGAAAGAATAAATTACTTAGTGTTTATTTAAAAGAACACCGTACCGATATTATTTGAAAGTATACTTAGTTATTTTTATTCAGTTATATTCTGATTACGAAAAACTATTTAAGAAAAAAAGCTTTAGTTAATTTTGATTGCAAACTATTAATTTTTATTTCATATTTCTTAATTTTTAAAACTTACGTTTCATTTTTCTTAAAAAATTTCTAAGAATTTATATGACCATAATCTTATGAGTCATATTAAATTAAATAGAACATTTCTCAAAGTAAAAAATTTTTTTTGGATTTAAATAAATTTCATTAGATTAAAAAATTTATTATATATTGGATCAAGTTAATTTCTGTTGTCAGTGTATTTTAAAATTTTTTAGTGTTCATATATCATACCCGAAAGTAAATTTTTTATAGCCATATATGAGCGGATTTTATATCTGGCATGATCTGGTCACATGTCGCCATATCAAACTACATATAAGAGTCAAAAAAAACTTTTTTACAGCTTTTCAATTTTTCATTTATTCCAAAAAATGTCGGAGAAAAAAATTTTTATATATGGTCATACATGTCTTGATCAGATCATGTATGAGTATGTAGAAAAATAAAAACATAATTTATTTTTTCTAGAAATGCATTCGTCAGTTAAGATGTTGTATTTCTCTAAATTAAAATACATGAAAGTTTTGAAGTTAGTCATAGGTTGAAACTCGCAAAAAACACGCCACGATTCATTATTAGTTAAAATTAAAGCGCGCGCGTAGCCCGCTATTCAAATTTCTAGTATTGTATCAAAATTGGTCTAGTAGTTGATTAAACTCATCGTCAATGTCATATAAGTTTTAAAGAAGAGTCGAAAAAATGATTTTTATATCAGAAGTTAACATTTTATAAATAACTCTCTTACTAGGAAAAGATTCTGCAATAATGCGCCCTCTGCCGGAGATTCTTAACACGACATTTGATCGGAGAATTATAAATTGGCGTATATGATCATATGAGGTCTGATTTGGGTATATCAAGTCATATTACGTTGGATCGAGCAATGTAAAATGAGATAAGTCTAGATGGCTTGAAAATCTCATAAATGGCCTGGTATGGCCAGTTTTCAAATAAAATCATATATGGATTCATCAGACTATGTCGAATCATACTAAAAAATTTTTTTACTAATATAAATCCATACTTGACCTCATGTATGTTCAGATAATACTAAAAATTTATGTATATAATCCTTTGTGTGATCATACCTTGCCATATGACTCACTTTTTCCAAAAATAGTAAAAATTACCGACAGAAAATAATTTTTTAAATCCACGCATTAATTATAATCTAATGATTCATCCATCGTTACCGCATCTGCGTCGTGAACATTACCATAATCTCTTCTTTATGTGGTTTTTTTTTACCGTTTCTCTGTCAGTAATTTCAATCATAAAATTCAAGTAATTTTTTCCTGTTCCCATAAAAATTATTATGAGAAAAAAAAGAAACATTTATTTTATTTAAACCATCTCTTTTCACGTTTTCAGGTCACCCAAAATCCCCCAACTCTATAAAAAAAAGACACCATTAATAATAATTTCTATAACTAAATTAAAAATACCTGATGGTGATGGTGATGATGAAACTTTGTGTGCGAGTTGAAATAACTGGAGCATAGTTTAAACACGTGGGCGAACGGCGGGATCAAAAACAGCAACAGCTTCAAAAATACTTTCTTAGCAGTGGTCACTCCAAACAAGAAAGGTATCACGAACATGAACTTGACCTTGATCAATTTAATAATGAGTATCAGTGCCAGGAAACTCAGCAGCAACCGGTTCTGGATGAATTTGCCTGCAAAAAGTAAATCACCCTATTTAATCATTTTATTAATCCCCAACCAAATAGTAGCTACCAGAAAACTCACGAATTTTTTTAAATAAGCGGCCTTGCTGCTCCAAAGGAGACCCAAAATCGATTCGTACCAGCGCTCCATTCGAGTCAATTTCTCGAGGACTAATTTTGATTTTAGCCTTCTCGAAAACAAACTCTGGAAGCTGGATTTCGTAGTCACGTGTCGCCAAAAATTTGACCGTTTTATGCCTCAACGCAGAAGTAACTTCTTCCAAGGGAGTTTCCGGTTCTTCAAAAGCTTTGAAGTTTTCCTTGTAGCTGCGATCTTCTACCAAATTATCTTCTTCAGAAGTGTCTTCTTCACAATTTTTCTCACATGTTCCATAGTCCAGGTTATTTTTGGTCATCAAAATTCCGTCAAAAATGGTCACATTGTCTATTTCTCCCAATGTGTTGTCCAAATAACTGTACGCGTTCTTTTGCAAGCACGAAAATGTTAATTTCTTGCTACAGTCCTTCAAAATTCCTCGCCACAGCTCGTTGCCGCCCACTCCGGCGTTCAGGTACGTCAAGTTACGCGGGTACAAATATTTCGCGTAGCTAATTATATTTACAAAACTAAACGCGTTGACACTCAAGGCCGCCAGCAGTAAAATCCCGAGTATCTTAAACATTTTTTGGTTTTTATAAAAATAACAGTTTAGACCAGAATTAAAACACTAATTTACACTTAAAATTTTGAAAATACGTAACTCAATTTTTAAAATGTCTCATTATAGTTCACTGTTTTAGTGGCGAACAGTGCCTGATGCGCCTGTGCCACTTGAAGAAGTTTGTTCTTTTGAGCATCTCCTCCAAAACCGGGTGTGTGTTTAAAAAACTACCACTGAATAAAATTTTACTTTTTAGGATGGATGTCACAGTTGGTCGATACTGTTAGGACTTAAAAAACAGACAGAGTTGCGTTCACTTGGATCTCTCCTTTAAAACTAACATCGAGACCTGACTATCCAATCCACTATCCGCTCGGCTGGTCTCTCGTGGATTCGATTCACGCGGTCTAAAATGTGTGTCAAAAGTACTCCCTCTTCTTTTGATGATTATTATACTCACTACAGACTACCAGACACTGAGTGTAAAACGGTGTCCCGAAAGGTTGATACTCTATAGTCAAGTATATATATGTATATACCTAGAAGGTCATTATCGTCCGAGGATACTAAAATTGTCAACTTTACGCTAAATGAGGCTGAGACTCTTTACTTTGGAAATTAATTAATTTTTTTTTTGTTTATAATCTTTTAAAAGGCTGAAGTTTGGTGACATAAGAGTCATACTTTTACAATCGAGATCATGGTTCATAGACTAAGGATAAATTATTCTAATGATGATTGTCTAATGACTGACAAATGATTAAAATGTGACCAAAAAAAAATTTTTTATGACTAACTTATGGCTATCGAAGTTTGAGTAAAACATAAATTGTTGAGGCTTCATTAATTTGTAATAATGTGTTTATTAGGTGATATATTATGTTACTTTGTAATGAAGTTAAACGAAAATAATGGGCCGACGCTAATGTTGGTCAACATTTAATTATCAAAAAATTAAATTACCGATGAAATTTTTTTTTATTTTGTTCTTAAAATTTTTATTGTTAGATTTTTTTGGTACTAAAAAAAAAAATTTTAATTTGATTCGTTTTTCGTTAAAATTTTTTTCATCAATTCGGTCATGAAATTTTTTTTTAATTACTACTTTGAAATTAAAAAAAAAAAAGTAATAAAATAAAATTGAAAAAGATTAACATGTGAATTTTTTCATGGGTAAATATAAGAAAAGCCTTTTCATTTTATATAAATAAAATTTTTTCTTTGGATATAAAAATTGAAATAAAAAATATTTTACTGATTTTATTACAAATCGACCAATTTAAAGTTTTAAAAGTCCTAATATTTTGTGATATATATATATATATATATATATATATATATATATATATATTATCATTAATATTATCAATAATATTAATACTAATATTATTATAATATTATTAGTATTAATGTTATTGATAATATTGTGATATATTAATATTATTGATAGTATTGTGATATATTCAAAAATTAATTTCCTTAATAGTGTATTAATTCATCTTATCATAATCATTAGAGAACTGTATTTTCTCTAGGTATATACACTGATAGAAAATTTATGTTGACTCAAGAGATATTTTCTTGATCTAAGAATTTATTTTGGAAGACAAATGATTATCTTGCTCTAAGAATTTCTTGTCTTGATTTAGATTTTCTTGGCTTAAGAGCTATATTATCTTCAATCAATACATTTAAGTTTTTCAATCAAAATAACATTATCGTTTAAAAAACTTAAAATAATTCATCAAAGTATTAATTCAAAAACTAAATAGTCTTTAATTGTTATACCAAAAAAAAATTATTTCTTAGAAATAAGTAAATTAATCAATGACTCAAAAAAAAAGCGATTCTTAACACAAGTCGGTAACATCTTGAATCAATATTATCGCCTATCTTGAACCAAGAGAAAAAAATTCTTGATAGAAATATCTATATCTAGTTTCAAGACTTCAAGTTTTGAAGAAAAAAAGTTTCTTGAATCAAGATTGTTTTTCTATCAGTGTACTTGCTTATTACGCGACATAAATTTATAAATTGTATTCATTTATCACTATAACAAATTTTTGTTTTTAAATATTCGACACTTTTTTCAGAAATTCATTATTTCCGTTTTGAAAGAAAAATTTAAAAGTTCAAGGAAGCTTCTTTTGTTAAATAAAATTGTAGGTGAAAAATTGAAAACAATCAAAAATATTTTAAATACAATGAATATATTTATATATAAATTAAAAAATTTATGTAACAGCGTAACAATGAAACATTACAATATCCGTGCAGCTAAAAACTGATCATTAATCTGATAATAATTTAATTCTCTAACTAACAGCCGTTAGAAGTTATTCGTCTGTTAAGAAGTATGTTCAGTATATATTAATTTATCAGTTTTAATACAAGTTGGTTGTTTGCGCAAATTCAATGTAAGAATTTCATCAGTAAGAGCAAGGCCGTATCTTCATGCTCCGCTTCTTGGACCGTTGTAACATACGAGCGCACATAAATTGAGGCTTTACTTAGGTTCAACTAGATTTATGAAATATTCAATGGATTTTATAGTTTGTGTTTAATATTTTTACGATGACGATTGCTATTACGATTATTATAATTTGGCTTGATATTATTTCCAGTATTATCTTGGAGAATAAAAAAAAGTGGGCATATCATTACGCAGGATTATTTACACCCGAGTAATCTGGAGTAAATGTAGCTTGGTGTTGAGCGACGTGATTTTATAATTGAGAGTAGTATTATACTCTATTATATTACAGTATTATATATAAAATAGATTTTAATGGATGGGTTTAATTATTATGGGGATCTCGTAATCGAGGAAAGAAAGCTTAAGTCACGCGAAACTGGTTATCGGTGATGAAGCAGCTCATTTTTCATTTTTCTTTCTTTCTAATGCTCCGATGATCGTGTTAGTGACATTAACTTACATTTTATTGATATGTAATGAGTAATGAGACGGCAAGTGAACAGACTCTGATTATAGCTGTTGTTCTTTTTGCTGTTGTTGGTTTTTTCCTCCAGTGAATTATGTATGAAGTATTTACAGATAAATGTAATTATGAAATAATTTGTTACGCTTCGGTTTTTTTAAGTGAGTTATTGAAAATTAAACGAAACGAGTTTATTGACTTGCTAACACTTCTTGTGGGAATGCAATGTTTGAAAAAAGCTTGGAATTTTATCAAAGGGAAGGAGAAAATTGTTTTGAATAAGAATTGTCTAAGATGACTTTATTAAACATTAAAAAAGCTTGGAAAATCAAAAATTGCACGCCTCATAACACTAATTTATTAAACAAAAAAAAACAATAAAATTGTGTAATTAGATTTTAAAAGAAAAAACAATTAAGTGATTTCTTACAGAGTATTTCAAAGTTATTTTTTTTATTATTGACACCCATTTATCTGGACATATGAGCATCAGCTTAAAAAAATCTAGAAATATGATTGCTCGATTTCATTTGAACTTGATTAAGTGGTGCCATAATTTTCAAGTGAGAGAAATAAGAGAAGTTATTTCGTTTTTGTGCGTGTGCATCATAGTGAATTTTAATAAAAATTAATTTAGAAAAAAATTACGTAAACTAGGCTACTGATATAAAATACGGCACCAGTTCATTGAATTTTAGAACTAATAAAAAAAAGCTTGATCTCGATGTATACATTTTTTTAGGAGTTATTGTTGTTGTTGGAGTTATGGTTGATACATACAAAATCAGAGTACAGATCAGACATCAAGACATCTACGTAAAATTTTTTTCGAAACAACAACATAACATCAAAAATAAACTCATCATTTACTCATCAAAGACAATCCGTAAAAAAATATCATGATATGAGTATATATAAGAATAAATTAATAATTTATTGTAATTTCTCTTTTTTTATTTTTTTTATTTCTACAAATAAGGACGTTATTTAAAATGTTTTATTGAACAAAATTGATTGAGAAGTTTATTAGTCAAATAAAAATTACTGTCAAGTAAGTTATTTATCAAATAAATAATTTTTATTTTAAAATTTAACTTTCTAGTAAGGAGACGATTCAGCGACCATGCGTCCTCTATCGTAGATTAGCGACACTACATTCAATCGAAAAATTACATATGGGTATGTATGATCATATCAGGCCATAAGCATGTACAGTCATTTTAAGGCATATGAAGTCATACGAAGCCAGATATATCTATATTGGTCATAATATAACCATATGTGGCTGAACATAGCCAATTTTCATACCAGTTCATACTTTTCTAAAAAGTTGATTGCGGATATTTTGTCGTTTTACGTCACTTCTGTAATCCTTTTATCAGGTTGGTGTTTAGTGGGCTGAAATAATAGCGGGATTTCGGAAACAATGAGAGCGCGCGAAGCGCACATAAAGTTTGCCTAGTGTCATAAAATATATAAGGATTGATCAGACCATATCAAAACATTTTTTTACGGAACATAAACATACCATAAAAAATTTCGGTGTAAAAATGAACCCGGAGCATTTTACACGACCGTGAAATGTGAAGTAAAAGTATGTATGTATGTATGTATTTATTTATTTATTTAATATGCCAAGGCAATTAGCCGAATGGCAAAGGTTTGTACATAGTTTTATAAATTTTTACTTAAAATTTAATACAAAGTAATAAACTTAGGTGTAGGTGTACATCAAAATCTTATTTTTAAGTATAAAATTCTCTCGGTGTAAATTTTCCAGTTTAATTATTTCTTCTTAATAATCTTAGAAGAGTGAAGAACATGATTACAAATACAAATGGCCGCGCCCATAAAATTTAACAATTGGAGATAATCATAAATTTTTCAGCGTGTAGAGTCGATATTTAATTTTTGAACGCAAAATTATCGTGGATTGTACATTTACATGGTTGACAGTGTAAAAATGTTAAATTTACACCCCCTAAATTTAAAATTGTATTTCGTGTAATTTTCACACGAAAATTATAACACCGACTCATTTACACTACACCGAGTCCAAAAAATTTTTACAGTGCATATTCG